AAGGCCAGGGACATTTGCCTAATGTATGGTGCTGAACTCCACCTTCAGAGGAAACCCCACCATTAGAAAAAAAACAAACTATTATTAGTTTGAAAAAAGACTATTCAACATTTTAAAAGATAAATTGGTGCTCTCTGGTGCTTTTGCAGAGATATAAACAATTGAAATGAAGACGAAGAAAATAAAAATAAAGTCTGATTAACATTTGCTCACTTTGTATTTGAGTTTCTCCAAAATTGCTTTGAATGCTACAGTTTTCAGAAAAAGGGTGGTGACTGTCTTATCTATGTATAATGATCTTTTTTGGCGGGGAGTGGGGTGGAATCAAACCATTTTGTTGAGGGGCTATGGGAGAGGGTCTTAGGACTAGGAGGACAATTAGATCTGACATCCTTGTCCTGGCCAGGATCTCCACAGCTTCGCAGTCTTTGAAAAAGCTGATGATCTTAATATGGATCCTTGTGTCTTGACTGTTCCCATGTACCACTAATTTATGGGGATTCCATTTAAATGGGCTGTTTCCACGAATCACATACTTACCTAAGCCTATGTTAGAAAGTTGCAAGTATATTTGTCACATGTTTTTTTTTTTTCCCCCCTAGGGTTAGGGAAACCAATGGCCAAGGGCAAAAACAATCTTGATTAGGGTACAGGTAAGGTGGCACTGGTGGAATGGTGAAGGGTAGGGGTGAGGGGTCTGGAGCAAGGGATACCTAGGGGAAGTTGATGAAGCCCTCATCCTACTTGGGCTTGCCACCTAGTGGAAGAAATGGGCTTATAAATTAAAATCATTTCCAAAGGTCTAGGAACAGAATTAGGAGCAGGAGGGATAGGTATAAATTAAGGTACTATTTTTGCATGTTTTCCTTTGATTAAAAAACATTATAAAGACAGCAGGATCTACCATTAAAAAAATCATTTCCAAAGGGCTCTAATCGAGGTATGTAAATACTCAGACTAGGGGAAGGAAAATTTAACCAAACAGACCTAAAGTCATCTCATCTTTGATGTCAGCAAATACCTAGAGAATTTTGGAGGAGAAACTAGAGCGCTAAGTACCATACTTGAACATTCTGTTAGCTCATGGTTACCTAATCCTCATGGTGAATGTCAAAAAGGAGGACCATGCTTTTCAGTTGCTTTGCAGCCATAATATGCTGAGCTGGGTTAACCATGTCTGATCCAGCATGATGATACCGATGTTTCCAAGCCACCTCGTCCACTGACATTGAGTAGCACCTTCATTTCAGTTCACGTCCAAGGGGAATAAAACCCCTGTTCTCGATGATTTCCAATAAAACAAGGTTCTAAATCTTTAACCAAACTAATTTTAGATGACTTCAAAGTTTCATCATGTCCTTGATGGCCACCCAGGACTTAAGTTTTACAGGTTTGCAAGAGATTAGTGGCCAACATCATAAGTCTTTTCCTCCTGAATTTAATTTCTAACATAAGCCTGCTGAAATACATTCTAGGCCCAAGATGAAGCCACTCCTGCCCAGGTGCCATGTCAGCAAACCAACTTAGACCACTTCTGTGTGCCTATAAATGCTCTGCTTGACCGGAAATGCAGTACAATTGTCCTTGGCATCCGCAGGGGATTGGTTCCAGGTCTCCTGTGGATACCAAAATCCATGGATGCTCAAGTCCTTATATAAAATGGCATAGTGCAGTTGGTCCTCTGTGTCTGTGGGTCTGCATTTTTGAATTCAGCAAACCAGAGACTAAATTTTATGCACAGTTGGTTGAGCCTGGGGATGCCCAACCCATGGATGCAGTGAGCCAACTGTATATTCAGTCAGCCAATCCCCAAACAGTAAGCCAATTCTGGGCTCTGAACTTATTTCCTCGTTCTTCTCATTCCAAACAAGGCTGACTATGTGGCTGCAGCCAATCAGATATTTCCTATTTCTCTCTTCCTTGTTCCTTATTAATTGTCCTATAAAAGCTTCCTCCATTTCTCTCATTTTGCAGTTCTTTAAATGGAAGAATGCTATGTCTGCTTCATAGTGTTAAATAACATTTGCCTGTATCATCAAAGTTGTCTTCTTTCATCATTTTTAACAAGCATTTTATACTTTTTAAAAAATAGTATTTTAAAATTACATAGATACACTGGAATTTGACACAACATTGTGAAATGACGGTAACTCAATAAAAATGTAAAAAAATAAAATAAAATCGCATAGAACATGGTACATCACTATTCACATCTTTCTGGTATATAAATTTTTATTCCATATCTGTACCCTATTAGATTTTAATCTAACTTTTCCAATTGTCCATATAACCATTATCATACCTCTGTCAGGAGACAAAGTGCACATTTTTATTTTGCATAATGCTTATGAACACATCACTTACACAATTCACTCTCAGAGCAATATCAAACTCAAAACACATTCCAGCCACATAAACTGTAGTTTCAAAATAAGCAAAATTCTTTATTTGCCTTTATTAACTACCCTGAAGGGATGCATGGTCTACACTACAGCAAGAGTTTAAAATAGCCCTCCTATTTCAGTTACCTCTTGCTGTGTAACACCTAAAACTTAGTGGATTAAAGTAACAATCGTTTGACTTATTGGGGCAGAGCTTGGTGGAGATGATTGGTTTCTACTCATGTCTCTAATGCTGGGACAGCTCCCTTGGAGATGTAGGAGGATGGCCTTGCTTACACTGCTGCCAAATTGGTGCTGGCTGTCATCTAGGTGTACCCATTGGGCTGTTGGTGCTCAGTACTTGTATTAATTTACTAAGGCTGCCATAACAAATACCATAGATTGGGTGGCTTACACAATAGAAATTTACTTTCTTACAGTTCTAGAGGCTGCACGTCTGAGATCAGGGTGCCAACATGGTTGGGTTGAACACGATGAGGTTGTAGCTGGCTGCCTTCTCTGTGTATTCATCTGATCTCTTCTTGATGCAAATGGCCAGTGGGAAGCAGGGGATGTGAATGCAAGCCCACAAACTCTCTTTTTATAATGGCACTAATCCTATCATGGGGGCCCACCCTCGTTATCTCTTTTAATTTTAATTATCTCCCAGAGGTCCCATATCCAAATACCATCACATTGGGTGTTAAGACTTTAACATATATACTTGGGAGGAACACAGTCAGTGCTTAATAGTGCTCTTCCATGTGGCTTCCCATGTGGCTAGGTTGGGCTTTCATAGCATGCAGTCTCATGGTAGTCAGTCTTTACACATGGCATTTGGCTCCTACTAGAGTGAAAAAACCAAATCTACCAGGTACTCTGAAGGCTTTCGCCCAGAACTGGCTCAGTGTCACTTGCACTACATTTTACTGGTGAAACTGGGCCCCAAATTCAGCCCAGATTCAAGGGGAAGGGTCTATATAAGGAAGTGAATGCTGGGAAGCATGGTTATTGGGGGCCATCAAAATAACAGTATCATTCTCCTTTTCTTATTTCATCCATTTCCCTCATATGCCACAGTGGTTCCCATGCACAACTCTTTCTGTCCAAAAAGCCCCTTCTCCCCTACCAGCCAGAGCCCATCACCTCAACCTCCCCCTTTCCACCCAATTCTGTATCACACAAATACAAATGGATTCTGAACTCACAGGAAGAAACAGAACCAACAAAGCCAGCATCCTTTTGCTGTGGAGGAAGAACAGAGTTGCCACCTACCCTGTCACAATAGTAACGCTTGCCCCCTCACCCTCGATTAATGGAGATTTTTGCCAGGAGAAGCAGTGCTTAAAGTCCATATTCGTTCTCAGCACCACGGCTGCCTAGTTGCCTGGAAGTGGATGATTTTAAAGACTTCTATAAGGACAGCAGAGATGCAAACAAGCACAAGTACCAGAATTTTTAAAATTTCTCCCAGAAAACAAATCTGCACTGAAGGGTGCATGGTATGAGAAAGAGAGGGGAAGAAGGAGAGTACAAATAGAAGAAAACAGAGACTACATACGAGATAAAATCATGGACATAATGCATGAAAATCTCCTTCACTATGATGATGCTGTAGTAACTCTATTGATCTGTCACATAAAAAATACTTTAAAAATAATATTTCAGCTTTAAAAGAACTCCTTGAGTTTGAATCAAAAGCTTGATGAAACTTCTTGGCTCTCAGAGCAGTCTGAAAGTGTCTGACTCCCCTGCTTCAGTGCATTTACTTATATAAATGCAGTTCGGCTCTCTCAAGACCCCTCTCTTCTCATTTTTCCAGCTTCAGTTTCTGCTTGTCCCAGGTCCAACTTTCAAGTGGGAGAGAATCTGATTGGACTTAATTTCCTAGGTTGGGCAGAGGTTTGCAGACACTCTGCAAGTTGCCAGACCCTCTGTCCAATCAGCTGTCAGCCTGTGGATCATCTGGTATAGTAAGTAGCCTTTTCTGTGCAAGGTTCAGTTTAGGCTCACTTCGCTCAAAGGCCCAAGGTCTGCAGGATGGACAGCTTCCTTTTGAAAAGGAGTGGCAAGTGTCGGGGCACTGTAACTGACAGCTGCCACTCCTAGAACATCTCTAGATTTGTCTTCTAGAACTAAACCTCACTTCCTCCCTTACAAGCTAGCGCCAAAGTACTGGGAGATCCTTAGCAGATGCTGTTTCATGCCTCCAGGTCTTTTATACATCCCATTTCCTCTTCAAGGAAGTATGCTCTTTCCACTTTTGATTGTCTGGAAAACTACCTTTTCTTCAGGCTTTGGCTCCAAGATCATCACATCTGTTAAGTCTTCCGTTTTCCCTTTTTCGAGAAGAAACAGACTTTTAGAGAAGTTATGTGACTTTCTGGATTCATCCTCATATTCGAGGAAATCTAACTCCAGATCGCTGACACAAAACGCTGTAGGTATTATTCTCAGTAAAAGAAAAGGGAAGTGAATCTTTTGGAGACGTGATTCCTAGCAAAGCAGCTCTAGATACTTAGACGAAGCTGGAAAACCGGAAAGCTTCTCCAACAGCTCGGAACACAAGGGATCTGCGCATGCTCACGGCGTCACGCACAGTTTCCCCTCCCCTTCCAGGCTCGGCGGGAAGAGGCCGTTTCTGCGACCCTCCGGCCCTTAGTCCGGCGGAACTGAGTTTCGGCGCCGCAGGTTCCCACTCGGAAGAGGCGAACGGGCGCTTGCGGACCTGCAATATGGCGCGGTCGGGGAATAAGGTAGAAAGATAAGTTGGCTTGGTCCTTGCCTGTGCCGGGGCTTCCGGAAAAGGTGGTTCGGAAGCAGGAATCATGGGATCACGGCGGTGGCCAGGAGTGGGGAGGGGAGATGGTGGTGGTGGCCTGGGTCCGGAGGGCCGGGATCCAGGGATGCGCTGTGAGAAAGCTGGGGATTTGGAGTCTGAAGACCTGAACTTGACCCTCGCCCACTCTCCACCCCCGCCGCCTCCTCAGCCCTCCCATCTTCTCATTTCCTCTCCAACTGGCCTCCTCCGGCCTTCCAGCCCACTCCGCCTCCCCTCCGTACCCGTATCCCAGCCTACCCGCTTCCTCCGACTCCTCCGTTACTTCTGAGCCTGGGTTTTGAAAATCTGTAAGAATGGAAGTTAGCCACGATAAACACCTATCGCACAGCTTTGTAAAACTTCAGAGAGGGACTGTGAGTAAAATAACTTGAAGTATAAAACGCCCTGTTATTACCTCTATAATAATCAAATGTTTCACACTTATTGAAAACTTAACTCTGGTAAGGCACTGATTTAAACACTTTATTCCTGTCTCATTTATTCTTCACAACAATCTCATGAGTTGAAAACTGTTATCCCCAGTTTACAGGTGAGAAAAGTGAGGCAGTAAGTAAAGTGATTACCTCAAGCTCACCTAGTCTGTAAGTGGTGGAACACGGATTTGAACGTAGGCTGTCTGCTTTCAGAGCCCTGGAGAATGTCTCTGTTACTAGGAATCTATGACCCTAATTGTCCCAGATTAATAACATTATGATGAATTTTAACAATGATTTTTAAAATACAGGCAGAGAGTAATTGTCTTTGAAGGGTCACTAGAGGGAGATGTGTTCCAGGGAGTTGGTTCATTCATTAGGTATTTTACTAGGCATCTCATATACAGATAAACAAGATAGAAGTTTGAGTCACTGATTCCTAGTCCCCTCAGTTCCGCGTCGGGAAACGTTGATTAAAAATGATTAGGAACATATGCCACTCACCTCCTTTGTTCCTCTTCCAGCTGCTGAAAACTTTGATGCTCTAATGGAGCCACTGTTTATGGCAGGTGGACTTGCAGGAAAATTCTGACAGCCTGTATTGCTTCAATACATAAATGCAGTGTTGCTTTATTGCCCAGTTTCTTTTTCCTGGGTTTTCTTACTGCAGCCAAAAAGGAGCTTGAAGTATTATATAGACCATTCTTCTGCTTTCAGACAAGTTCCATGCTGTGAAACCTTTTGATGCTATTTTTGGGTACCAGATTCCTGGCAAAAGGCCTTTAGTCCTCTCATTTAGAGTTTTCTGGTTTAAAGGTGGCTCATATGAACATGTGTTAAATAAATGCAGCAGCATATTTGAAGACACTTCACTTTTTTAAGATTCTTATGCTTAGAGCATTGAAACTATGGGATGTAAATTTTATTGCTATCAAAGAAGTTTTATAGTTGTTTATTATCACCTTTTCTCCAAACATGTTATTTATACTCAGGAAATCTCTTAGTATAAGTGCATTATGCTCCGTTCTTGGTAAACTAGGGAAAAACCTAAATAGTTTTGCCATGTATTGCCTTGCCTGAGATACCACCAAATTGGAAATCATCAATAACATCCCTGATAGGAACTCATCCAGGTTTTTCAGATAATTCTATGGTTAGGCAATCACTCCTTCAGAAAATAGTAGTTCTTTCATTGATCACTTCTAAATATTATTTTTTTTCTCCTTTATATGGAGTCAAACCAGTATCCCTATAACTTCCATCTGTGGAGCCTGTTCTCTCTCTTGCAGAGCAGTATGAGGGTAACAATCATGTTCCCCTAAAGCTGCTCTTCTGGCTCAAATAGCCAGTTTTCCCCACCTGTTCTTCATGTCACATATTCTAATCTGCTCATTTTGTGTTCATTTGTAATTAGTCTTTCTCAGAAGATGCGACAATGAGAACTGCTCATCATTTGTCAGTTGTGGTCTGATCAGTACAAAGCACAGGTGAGACTGTCAGTCAGAATCAAAGAACGTTAACTCTGGAAAAGGCCTTAGATCTCATCTAGTCCAACAACTGCTTCCTGCCTCCATGAATTAACAGTGAGGTTAAGTGACATGTCCAAGGGCTCAGCTACTTGGTAATGACTGGATACCAGGTCTCCAGATTGCTAGTCTTTTTTCACCGTAAGACCTTTCTTTTCCTTCCTTAAAATCGATGCAACCTGAAATATTTTAGAGGATGCAATAAGGTAGGTGTGGGGAGTGTAGTACTGTAGCCATGTCATAGTGGTGACATTTTAAAACGTCAGTTTATAATCCACCCTGAAATTGTGAGTCGCTATTTATTCAGGTCTCCTCTAGCCCATATTCAGTTAAATTTTGAATTCCAAGTACAGAACTTGACATGTATCCATATTTTAGTTTATATTTGCCCTGTTTCCTTAGTCTTCTGCATATGCAGTTGCTAGCTAATGGTTAGGTGTCCTTATTTGGTTCCCTCTGCCTAAAACTCCCCTCATTCACATGACTGTCATGTCATCCAAGGTGAGGAGGGTATATAGTTCAGTGGTAGAGTGTATACTTAGCACGAAGTCCAGGGTTCAACCCCCACTACCTCCATTAAATAAATAAACAAACAAACAAACCTAATTACCACCCCCCAAACCCCTAGAAATGAAAAAATAAAATTTTTTAATTGGATGAAAAAAAAAAAAGATCCACCCAAGGATCATATCCAAGAAGTCTTTCTGCCTTCTTACCCGTCCTCTGTTTTTCCACTGGTCTTGGGTAGATGCCCCTCATGTGTGCTGCCATGGCACCCACTGTATGCCTCTGTCACGGAATATTGTGCTGGTATTATTTATATGTGTGTCCCCAACTAGAGTAGATTTGGTGTCTTAGCTTTGTTTTAGATCCTGAACTTACAAACTGATTCAAATTATTGTTGGGTGTATTATTTTAACACATACATATTGTGACAGTCCCTACCTGCTACCACAAAAATGCTGGAGAAGAAGCTGTACCTCAAATCAGTGGCTTACAGCAGAAGCATCTATTCTTGTGCTTAAACTGCATTTGGGCTGATGTATTTTGAGCTCAGCTGGGCTGGTCTTAGCTCTGGCCTGCAGGTTATTTTCAGATCTGTGTCCCGTGGATTTAATCTTGGGCTCAGGCCAAAGGAGCAGCTACCTGGAGCACGCACCTGTTCTGACAGATACTTTCTAGGTTTTAGGAAATATTAGGGCTATTTAAAGTTTCTCCATGGTGAAATCGGTATGTCTTACATACATCATCTGAGTAGAACCTTCCCCTCCCTTTATCACCCATCTCCTGGCTATCAGTGCAAGTTCTATGGGTGACATCTCTTTTGCTTCTTTTTTTAGTGACCGTTAATAATGTTTTCTCACACACTCTGGGACTTTGTTTCTAGGCAGCTGTGGTGCTGTGTATGGATGTGGGCTTTGCCATGAGTAACTCCTCTCCTGGGGAAGGATCCCCATTTGAACTAGCAAAGAAGGTGATGACCATGTTTCTGCAGCGACAGGTAAGTTTCGGATTGGTCTTGAGCTTGTAACTCGTCGTCAACTGCTTGTTGCCTCCACTTAGTTATCCAGATACCAGCTTCCTTACAGTGTTCGCCCTCAGTATTGTTAGGAATCTGAGGAGTCATTCTTATATCTGCTCACATGCAAAGCTACCACTAGAACCTGGCATTTTTTTCTTCTCTCATTTTGGCTCCTCCACTGGATATTACAGCTTTTCTCAGAAACATGAAGCAATGTAAAGTAATGTTTAAAAGTATAATTTGTGGAGCCAGATGGCCTAGGTTTGACTCCTTGCTCTGCCACGTCCCTTACTAACTTTGTGATCTTGAATCAGTCTTTCAGCTGCTGTGTGTTATTCCAGTTACTGTTTCCTGGTTACAGACTATCCCCACGCTTAGTATCTTAAATGACATTTTAAAAAACTCATGTCTCATGGTTCTAGGAGATGACTGGGTGGCTCAGTTGGGTGATTCTCTCTAAGGCCTCTTGTGCCGGTGCAGTCAGCTGGGGCTGAGTCAGGAAGGTTCATGTGGCCAAACTTACGTCCGAGATGGCTCACTCCCATGACTGGCATGCCTTCTGGTGGCTGTGAGTGCAGCTGGGACTGTCCCCAGAACTCTTACATGGCCTCTTTATGTGGCTCAGGATTCTCACAGTATAGCAGCTGATTTTAAGGAAGTGTGTTTCAAGAGTGGATTTCGAAGAGACATGTTAATATGGCTTTCTGTGACCTAGCTTTAATCCCAGAAAGCCATTTCTGCCACCTTCTATTAATCAAGCAAGTCACTCAGCCAGCTCATATTGGGGGAGGGGTGCAGGGAGTGGCAGGCAGGAATTAGACTCCCCTGTGGTTTTAAGGAATATTCTCCAAATACAGGGAGAGAAGGAATGGATGGCGACCATCTTCGAGACTCTCTACCACACTGCCTCAGTGTCCCATGTGCCAAGTAGGGGAAAATAATAATACCTCTTGCGTAGGGTTATTTTGAGAAAAAAAAGTCTTAATGTACATAAAATGCTTAGAATAGTACTTGACATATTGTAAACACTCTGTGTTTTATTATTATTAATAATTTCTGCCCTTTCTGCCTGCTCTGACTGCCTAGTCCACAAAGTTCTGATTCATTCACTGGGTGCTGCTGCTCCTCCTGGACACGTCTGCTACTTCTTCTGGGGGTTGCCTTTTCTACTAGGCACTGTTACCTCCTACCGGTCATCCTGAAGTTTAACAGATTCTGATAATCTGGAGTCCTTAAAGTCTCGAAGAAGAGGATGCCTCTGACCCGATTCTTGGTTATAGTAATGTGCATTCGGATAGTGCCGCTGTGCCCCAATGTAGTATAGCTTTTCTAAAAAAAGAGAAGCAGTGCTTTCAGGTTTTCTTTTTGATTCTGCTCCTTGCATAGGAGTCTGACTCTGGAAGGCTGGGAGACAGAACCCACACTGCAGTCAAACTTCCTTCCTTGCCCTCACTGAGGTTTTGTTGTTGAGCAAGATCACCTTGCCCTAAGGTGAAATCTTGTCCAGGAGGCAGATGGAATTCTAGCAGGCCTGCCCCACTGGTGTGCTGGCCATGTTTGAACCCCAGTAGCTGGGACCTTTTCCCTATGAACAACTGGCAGTTGTAGCTGGACTTGTTACCAGACTGGGGAATTTAACAGACCATGCAGCAATGAAGAATGACAGTTCTGTCCTCTGCCCTCACAGCGTTCGCCTCACTGATGTAAGAGGCTTCTGTTAGTAAGTAGGTGGGGACAGGACTGCCCTTTGTGTCACATACTATTTTTTGTTTTCATTATGAAATGTTTCATAAAAGGGGAAAATACAGAGAATAATATAATGGAAAGCTATTTTCCCATTGTCTAGTGCCCTACAGTCTGAAAGTTCTATTTGTTTGATTTCTTTTTCTCCTTTTTTCTTAAAATGTAAAATATTACAGATTAACTTGAAACCCCTTGTGTATCCCTCCCCAGCCCTCCTCTTTCCTCAGAATTATCATACCTATTGTCACATACATTTTATACTTTGGATGTAAGTGTTTTTATAAATACTATGTCGTATTGCATGATGCTCTCAAAAGTGTATGTAATGGTATGATGTGGTATGTATCATTCCACAACTTATTTTTTCTCAACCTTATGTTTTTGAGATTTATTCCTTTTTTTTTTACTGAGCTGTAATATTCCATTGTATAAATATTTTGCAATGTGTTTTTGCATTCTCTGGTTGAGTGATAGTTAGTTTCCAGTTTTGCCCAGTTATAAGTGGTGCTGAAGTAAACTTGAACTTTCTTGTCCATTGTCTCCTTGTGTACATGTGCAAGAATTTCTCCATAGTATTTATCCCTGTAAGTGAAATTGCCGAGATAGAGAATATGAACCAACAGATATATTTTTTTAATTTCTGGAAAATGTAAACCCTGGCTAGTCATTCCAGAAAGACAGACGAAAATCTTTTCAAATTATCCATAATTAGTCATCACTGAGAATTAGAGTCTGATTTGGGTGAAGGTCATCAAGAGGGTGGGAAGTCATCACCCTCCCATTCCTCCACCACAGATTGTACTGAAATGAAGGATAGGACCTATGGTCGATGAAGAGGTCTTAAAACCTGGGAATTTTCACTGTCCATCAGTCCTATGGGCCAATTAGCCCAATTCTGTTGTTGACAGGGGCCCCAGGGACCTGCCATAGGGAGGTATGGTTGTCTTGCTCCCTGAAGGTTAAATATCTGTTGGTTTCTAGGTGGTAATATATGATTTTCAGCCTTTTATCATCCTTGTCTAGGTGTTCGCTGAGAGCAAGGATGAGATTGCATTAGTCCTTTTTGGTACAGACGACACAAAGAATGCCCTTGCTGGTGAGGATCAGTATCAGAACATCACAGTGCACAGACACCTGATGCTACCGGATTTTGACTTGCTGGAAGACATTGAAAACAAAATCCAGCCAGGTTCTCAACAAGCTGACTGTATCCTTTTTCAGCCAGAGAAGTCTCTTAAGAAATTTCCTTCAATCTGGGGAATAGTAATCTAATTTGATGAGGTTTTCTGAGTCCCAGCTCTGACTTCATGGACATTTTTGGCTCCCAGGACATGGAGGTCATGTATGTCAGGATCTAATGTGCGATTAATTAGGTTTGGTTGGGTGCCCCTTCTCTGTGCTAGTGACAGAGGCTGGGAGGTTTCGAAGGGGAAGATACTAGGGGGTGTATGTGTGTACTGACCATGTGTGGAGGGTTTGGTAGTGGTGATGCTTAGAAATGTTTGGACATAGAGAAGATATTTTGGGAAGAATATAGCACTAGCTTTTGCCTAACCTCTCTGGATGGAAGATATTTTTATGTCAAAAATCACATTGATGCCTAAACTGTAAGACTTCTAATTTCTTCCATAGGTGTCCTGATTTTAAGGCATTTTTCTCCTTTTTCTAAACAATAGTACCATCCCTGATCACTAGGAGGTGCTGCTGTGCTGGGAGTGATTTACAAATGCTACATTATGGCTCACTTCATACTTAGGAGTAGACTGTAATCACAAAACATGGGCTCTAGATACTGTAAAATGGCGTCATAATTTTTGGTCAAATGGGACATGTTAGACTACCTTTTGGTTTCTTTTATTTTTCCTGGTTACATGTTTCAAGATGTGTACTTTGATATATAGCATATATGAATGTATGTTAGTGAAATAAACTTTGGAAGAAGGGCACTTGGGCAGGTACTTTTAATTTTTTAATTTTTTTAATTGAAGTATAGTCGGTTTACAGTGTTGTGTTAATTTCTGGTGTACAGCCTTGTGATTCATTTATGCACATATATATTCCTTTTCATATTCTTTTTCATTATAGGCTATTACAAGATATTGAATATCGTTTCCTGTGCTCTACAGTAGGTCCTTACTGTTTTCAAGTCCTTTTTAAATCATTACACAGTCAGCTCAGTGTCCACAATTTCTAGCACTGTGGATTTCACTGAAAAAAAGTTGCATGTTCTTGGAATAAAGGGACTTTTTGGTGTTACCTTCTGCCCTTAACTAGCTGAGTCCTGGATGCCCTCATTGTGTGCATGGATTTGATTCAACGAGAAACCGTGTAAGTGTCTCAGCTGAAGAGAGTTGGAAATGAGCCTTTCTGCAAGAATTGTATAGGTTGTTGTATACAGTGCACTGTATGATTCATTGTTAATCAAGTTGCATGTTTGCATGGCTAAAAAGGCATTTGATAAGAGTTCAGCCTTTCTTTTTAAAAAGTTTAGAAAGAGGAAGGGCTATACTTCGTGGAACTTCTCTGGGGAAAATTAATGTTTGGCTTATTTCCTTTTCCTTCCTTTTTGACTTAAGCTAACCACCAGGACTTGTAAAAAATACTAAGTGTTATGGTCCATACGGTATTGAAATTAAATGCATAGTAACTCTGGCCAGCTTCCTAACTTATTACTTATTTAATTACTGTGCCTTTAAAATATGTGTCTTCAAATACGCACGCAGCACACACACACACGCACGCACACACACACCCTGTTAGGAAAAGCATTTGTACTAAAATCTCAGGCTGAAATTTGTATTATCATTTCTCAGTCTCTGTACATCCTGTGCAAAATCCTGCCATTAGCCCTGTGTGTGGAATCAGACCAAGGTGTTTGAAAAGTGAACCCTTTCAAGGCCGTAATTATAATACCTTGGGAGAATTCCTTGTTTACATTCTGCGTATGTGGAGGATGGAAGGGGATCCTTTTTTATCATAGTGACCACATCTTTAACTGAAATTAGAGTTATGAAATTGGGGAAGCAATATTTCCATAATGCTCAGAAATTTTCCCTAAGAAGTTGAAAGTGTGAGTTACCACTTGGTTGATTACGTGCTTAGTAGAAACTTAGCTAAACACCAACAACACATGGACTTCTAGAATGTAATCACATTTGTTAGCAGGGCTAGATTCATTCCTTACCCTTCATCAGCTCAGCAACCAAGTACATTTGAGTTTGTAGGAAATAATTCCGGAGAATGATTTCTTAATGTGATAACTCTCTTTTTTAGAGGAAAGAAGTTTAATAAGAAGCATATTGAAGTGTTCACTGACCTCAGCAGCCCGTTCAGCAAAGATCAGCTGGATGTTATAATTCATAACTTGAAGAAATCCGGCATCTCTCTACAATTCTTGTAAGACCATAAGAATTGCGTTTGTAGACAAATCCTGTTCTCTCAGAATCAGTGAGTGGGACCCTTCGTAGAGCATTTGGCTCCCAGGAACCTTCTGTTTCTGCTCTTGAGTCAGAATCTGTCAGATTATTGACCTCAGCCAACATTCACTGATTACTGTCTGTGTCCCAGGAACTCTTCTGAGTTTTGTTGATAAAGGGATGAGAGTCACAGTGAAACGGAATTCAGCCCAGTAGCAGATTATTTGTGCAGTTCTTGGACTCACAGAACTGAGGAATTAGTGGAATCTTTTAAGGGCGTTCAGTTCATCTCATGCCTGCATAGAAGATTTCACCCAGTTACCAGGTTGATGGTGTCTTTCCTTAAACAGCCTAGAGAGCTGTGTCTTAAAGACAGTAGATATTTTTAGGATAGGGAGGAATATCAACTTGGGTATCATTTTAAACACAAGCTTATTTTTAACTCTTTCTCAGATCTAAAGGATACATAGACATATATAAAACATAATTTGCTTTTGAATATTTACAGATAAAGTATACAAATTTAGGGGGACATTTATTTCAGTTTGTTGGGAAGAGATTCCCTCCTCCCCCAAAAACTTGAATTTCTCCTCCAGGCATTTGCTTTCTTTATCCCTCACAGAAAGTTCTTTTCATGACATTAATCCTTCCTGCTGCATCTGAAACCTGTTTTTTCTTGTCCTATTTTTGGTAAAAGCAGAGTGATAGTATAGAATGTTGAATTATTAGTCTTCTGGGGACACTCATTTTTCAGATCTAGATCTCTACCAAAAAGTCTCAGCTTCGAGTGGTAAGCCTTTGGCTTCTTTAAAATGCCTGCCGTGGGGAATTAAGAACCTCTCTTGCATGTATGTACCTCTTAAGATTGCTGAAGGGCATCTCCTTTCTGCAGAACTGTAGAAAAATAGTTCAGAATAACCCATCGAACTGATACTTGTTAAGATGGTACTTCAGAGAAATTAAGTGTTTTTTAAGTGAGCCTTCCCTTCTTATTGAGTGCAGGGTTTCTCAGCACTTCAAAAGCCCAACTCGGCTTCTATTCCCCGTTCATAATCTTGGATGCCTTTACGTGGTTGAAGCATCCTGCACTTCTGTCAATGTCGTTGGAAAGGGCTACTTTCAGTGTGTGAGCAACAGAGTGCTGAAGAGGGAACTGTAGCCTTTTCTTCCACTTGCTTGTCATTAGACTAGTTGTATTTTTTCTTGGATAATGCCCTTCTTCCTTTGCTCCAAACCTGTAGTATGCAAGGTAGTTTTTGGTTTTATTGTTTGGTGAGTCCCACGTATGACTGATTGTTCTAGTTGGACTAAAAAAATGCCAACAGGTCAAAGAAGCACTGTGTCCTGTGCAGGCTTGTCCCTTGGACCTAGTTTTTAGTTTCTTCTACCGACTACTGAGAAAGTTTATTTCTGGTCTAATGCAGGGTGGAAAGAACTGTCACTGTAACTTCTTTTTTCAGGATAACTTCCTGACCCTTCATTTTCATGTGATTCATCCTTTCTTCCTGGCTGATGCTATGGAAACAGCAGTAGTCTGATGCAAACCCAAAGTGTCTGCCATACTCTGCTCCCCGGAAGCCCTTTTTCATGTAACACAGGACATGCACATCTGTCATGCTAAGAATATGTAGGAAAAATGTAACCAGGAAGCTCTGTTTTTTTTTTTATACGAAAGACAGGTTTTAATTGGCGACAGGTTTTTTTTTTAACATTTTTTATTTA